CTTTCCCCAGATAGAGTAGAATTTTTCCCTTTCCCCGCTTAGGATCTTTCCACTTTCCCCCTTAGAAAGCTTTCATAGGAAACTTTTAACAACTTAGTAATAAACACTATAACCACATCTCTAACTGTCTTTTCTTCCTGTGACTTTCGACTAACAGGGTGAAAGTTAGAGCCCAGCAGTTCTTGCTGAAATAGAACAAAGGCCACACTGCCTAATCCTCTGCTGTTAGGCTACAGGTGTTAATCACCTAAGCCAGCAGTCTTTTACCCTCAGAAGGAGCAAGACGTTTTTAGGACTTTTTAGAAGTTATCATCAGCATTTCAGTACAGGTCAGAGAGCCAGAAAGCCCTGAGACCCTCAGACTTTAAAGCCATCACCAGAGCCCTACTCTGTGCCCCTGTCACTACCCTCTCCAGGCCTGGAGGCTCCCAGCAACCTGGGATGAGACTAAACCCTAGTGTTGATTTAATTTTTGTTTTCCTGATGGCTAAGGATAGTGAGCCTTTCTTTTTCATTTCCTGGCCATTTGTCTGTTACCGTTATTTCCTCAGCTACTGGAGTCCTTTACAGAAGTCCGTGCCTACATGTGTGTCTTGAAGTCTATCACTTATGTTTTCTCTACAAGTTTCAAAGTTTGGAGACTCCCATGAAGACCTTTGATCCATTTTGAAATGATTTCTGTGCAGGGTGAAAGGTGGGATCTAGTTTCATTGTAATACATGTGGACATCCAGTACTCACCCCCAACCCCGTGTCATTTGTTGTAAAGGTATTTTCTCTACATTTTAGGCACATTTGTTAAAAGGCAGGTGACTATGCTTGTATGTTTACTTCTGGATCTTCTATTCCATTGGTCTGTCGGTCTGTCTGTCTGTCTGTTTTTGTGCCAGTAACAGTTTTTGTTACTATGGCTCTGAGGTAAAATTTGAGATCAGATATGATAGTTCAGCATTGTTCTTCCTCATTTTTTGAGTTTTTTATGCATATTGTTTTACATACTATTCACTATAGAATATTTGTGTGCCCCTTTCACCCCAAATTTTATTAATTTGGGTCCTTTCTCTCCTGTGGCTAGTTTGGCTAAGGGTTTGTTGATTTTGTTTATTAACAAGCCAGCCCTTTCATCTCAGCCGTTTTTTATTCTTTTGGTTTCCATTTTGTTAATTTTTACCATGATCTGTATCATTTCTTTCTCCTGATGATTTGGGGTTGGCAGCTTGTTCTTATTAATCTAAGACTTCAAGGTATATATCATTACCTATTTAAGAGTTCTTTGATTTTTAATGTAATTAGAGTTAAAAATTTCCTCTTAGAACTTCTTTTTTCCATCTCAACGTTGTGCTTTTATTTGACTCCAGTAATTTAAAATTTCCTTCAGTGATCTGCTGATTATTCAAGAGCACACTGCTCACTCCCCATTTGTTCACGGAGTATCTATAAGTTCCTATTGCTATTGGTTGCCACATATATTCCATTATGAGATAAAAAGACTGAAAAGTCATTTACATTTTTATATCTAATATGTCTTGTCTTATGACCTAAAGTACTATATTCGAGTTAGTTCCATGACTGCTGAGGGTATTGTGTGGGAAATGGTCTGTGGTTGTCTCTTGCCCAGTGGATCTATGCAGTTCCTGAGATGTCTTTTCATCTGGGTGTCTTCTCTGTTGATAAGAACAGGGTATTGGAATTATCTACAATGATTCTGTCTAGATATTTTTGATTCTTTATGAGAAATGTGTTTTTTATAAATTGATGCTTCAATATTTGGTTCATATATCTTTACAATTGTTATATCTTTCTGATGGATTGTTTAAATTAGTAACTTGTTTAAATTAGTAACTTTTAAAAAAAATCTCTTCTAATTTTGGCTTCAACTCTGCCCTATTAAATACTAAGTGTGGATATTTTTGCTTGCTCTTGGCTCCCGTTGTTTGGTGTATTGATTTCCATTCTTTCACCCAGAGTCTGGGTGTGGTTTTCCCAGTGAGGTATGTTTCATTTAGACAAGAACTTGGATCTTGGGGGTTTCTTGCAGGTATGTATATGCTGTATGCATGTATATGTGTTTGTATGTGTACATATGTGAAGAGCAGAAGTTAATGTTAAGTACTTCTTAGATTACTCTTCACTTCTATATGTGTTAGAACAGGTATCTCACTGAACCTGGAATTCACTGACTTAGCTATACTGTCAAAATGGTAAGCCTTGAAGCCTTCCTGTCTCTATCTCCCACTTCTTCACTAAATTTGAAATATTTGGAGGCTCTGATCATTTTTAAAAATATAATTTCTCGTATTCCCAGAGTTGCTCTTCTCCTCTTCTTCCTCCTTTCTCCCCCTCCCCCTGTCTTCTTCTCTTCTTTCTCCTTTCTTCTTTTCCTCTTCCTCTATCCTTTTCCCCTATCCTCCTCCTCTTCCTCCTCCTCTTCCTCCTTCTCCTTCTCTTCTTCTTCTTGTCCTTTGCTGTTGTTATTCTGTCTCAGAATAACAACAAGTTTTCTCTCTCCATTCCTTTTGTTCTGGTATCGACTCCATCTCATTGATCTTTTGATGTCTATGCAAGCTGTCCTCTTCTACCATGTGGGTTCTAAGGTTCCAGGTCATGTCTCCAGGCTTGCACAGGAAGAGCCTTCCTGCATTGAGCTTTCAGTTTGTATGGTTCATTTTCCACTTCTATTTTTTCCATTTGGTTCTTCCTTTTACTTCTTATGACTTTGCAGCACAGACCTTCTTGCCTATTTTAAGTGTGCCTGAAATCACTTGTTGAAGCTTTCTGTTAGTATTGTTAAAGCTGCTTATAAATGGGTGTTAGATAACTCCAACATTGCTTTTGGAGTAAATGGACTCTTTCTCCTTCGGTTTGAGATATTCTTGGTTCTTGGTAGAGTGACTTTCAATGAAAACCTAGATAGTTTATCCAGTTAAGAGACTAGTTGGGGGACTGGAGAGATGGCTCCACAGTTAAGATCACCAGCTGCTCTTCTAGAGGTCCTAAGTTCAATTCCCAGCAACTACATGGTGGCTCACAACCATCTATAATGGGATCTGATGCCCTCTTTTGCTGTGTATTAAGACAGCATACATACATATACATACATATATATATAATAAATCGGAAAACAAACAAAAACTAGTTGGGCCTTATTTAAAATGTCCTTTGTATCAACTTTCTCTGATATTAGCCCAGGAAATAAATCATATCACTGCCTCATACTGAGGAGCAGTCTACTTTCTCACTTAGCCATTGTCAACTGAAAAGGGTGGGAATGCAAGCCTTGGGCCTCAGCTATACTCTTAACAGATAGTGCTGAAGACTGGGAGAAGCAAGAGGACCTCCTTGCCCCCCTCCCCTGTGTAGCAAGATGGATGGGTGGCTACTGTGCTCAGGAAGGACCAGTATTAGATATGGTGGGAGGAGGCAGCTGGTAAGAAGGCATCAAGCTGTGGGGCAAGGGGTGACAAGGGCATGTGTCAATATTGATAATAAGAGAGACTGTATTATATTATAAGAGTATTAGATTCTGGGTTACTTTGCCAAACACCTTGCATGAATGATTTCACCTAATTATCTTTTACACTGTAAGGCTTGCCTCAAGTAATTTTAGACAAGGAAACTAAGACTGACAGGAAACTCCAGACTCATGTCAACGTTGGTCTGAAACATAAGTGTGACCCCAGAATACCAGATAGCATGCTGCCATGGCTACAACATGGGGTTAACTTGAACATGAAGAGAATAATTTTTGGAATTGAATGCTGATCTGTGAGTGCTTGCATTTCTGAGCAGGGGTCTCCATGAGCATATTTGAGTGAAGGAATGAGGTGCTGTAGTGGGTCAGAACAGCAGGTAGAAGGGACCTAAGGCAGGAAGGGAAGAGGATGGGGATTCCCATGGTATAGACAGAGAAGATGCCACACTGACCTCTGTGCAGAATCCCGGCCTGGTTTTGTCTGATGCTATTTCAGAGTTAATATGACATAACTCCTCTAACGACACTGTCTTTTCCCTTCTGCCATTCATGCAGATTTCACCATAGGACTGGTGAGATGGCACAGTCCGAGAAGGTGCTTGCTCCTCCATGACGTAAGCCTGACAACCTGAGCCAAATCTGAGGAACCCACATAAGTTGTCCTCTGACCTTCACTTGGACACTGTAGCCGGTGCCTTCCCCCCCCACATACATACAATAATAATAATAATAACTTTTTAAAACCTATATCAAGTTTTTTTTAAAAAGGTTTTTTTTCAATAAAAACTGATAGGGTGGGACGATTTTTATGGCTGCTTGATTCTTAGCTTTAAAAAGTCATTTTACTGAGTCATACTTAGTCGCTCATTCAGAGCCTCGTTAAACTAATTAGACACAATGTGGGTAGACAGAATGACATCTTGTGGCTCCTTCAGTAGAAACAGAAGGGAAATAGGAAGGAAGAGGAAAATGCCAATAGAATCTGGATTTATACGACCAGATAGGAGCAACACATCCCAAGAACGGCCAAATATAAACTAGTGTTTATTTCTCTTCAAGATAAGACTTGTGTAGCCCAGGTTGGTCCTGGAACTCATTATATAGCCCAGGCTGGCCTATAGTATAGCCAGTAGTGCTGATATTATAGGTATGTGCCAACTGGGCTTCACTGAGCTCCTAGATGCCAGGACTGGAGAAATGATTACACTATACCAATGTCTCGATTCTCGTTGCTTAGAGATTCTCCCAGCCCACCTTTGCTTCTTCCCCTGGGAGACTCCTCCAGCTTCAAACTCTGTATTTCTCCTTTCTTGGGTTGTTAAGTAGAACAAGTCACATCATAAAACCCTATTCCCAACTGGACGTTCTTCTCTGGCTCCTCTAACTCCTGCCTGATGTGTGCGTCTAGATTCCTTGAGAGGCATTGCACCCCAAAACCCACGCAGATTTCGCACTTTCCCCACTCTCCAGTCTCCCTCCCCAACCCCATCTACACCATCTACACCCAAGAGAATCGATGAACTAATTCATGGGAGGAAAATGCAGCTATTTTATATACTTTTTAAAAAATCAATGCTCGATTAAAATCGGATTATAAAGCGGAATTGCATGATGATGTCTTTGTCTGGCTGCCAGGCTGTGCCTTCTTCCTCCTGGGTTCTCAGTAGACTCCACCCTGCTGGTGCAAGGGCAGCTGGGTCTCTGCTGCCACCTGGTCAAAGCAGCGGTTTATCTTGGAGGCTGGACGAACCTTCTGATACTCCTGGAAAATGGGATCTTTCCCTGAGGTCATCTGCTCTAACCTTTGTTCCTTCTTTTTGATGGCTTCCTTGATGCCCTCAATGTGACACTTCTCCTCCTTCTCTGCTTTCAGCTTCAAGATATGATGGTTCCTCTCCCGCAGGATGTTCAGCTCCTGCAGGTGCTGCGCCCTGTCCTTGGTGGTCTTGTGCGCATGACTCCTGGCCTGCCTGCTCTTCTGTTCTGCCAGCTCTGCCAGCACGCGCTTGCTCATTTGGAGCAGCTCCTCTGCCTCCTCCGCACGCCATCTCACTCTCTGGAACTGCTCTGCCTCAGTCTGGGCCTTCCGCTGCTGCTCTCTGTGCCGCTCCTTAACCAGACCCTCTTGGATGTCCTGGGAGCTCTGGGAACTCTGCTCCAGCGACAGTTTCCTGAGGAGTTTCTCCGCCTTGGCTTGGCAATCCATGAGAACCTTGCGGGCCTGGAAGTTGACAACCGTGCTCAAGTTGCTCTCCTGGACCTTCTTCGGGTTCTCCACCACATGCTGTTCCCTCTTGTGACCCGCCACCTCCAGCCTCTTCTGCAGCTGCAGCCTGTTCAGGTCCCGCACACTCTGCAGCACCCTCTCCTGTTCCCGCAGACTCTGTGCTTGACACTGTTTGAGTTGCTCGGCCTGAGCTTGCACCTTGTCCATCTTGTCCAGGCCTCGGGTCTCTGGGTTGTCAGCTTGCACAGTTCTCCCACTCTCGTTCTCTGACTGAACCGCGCTTTTTGCCTGGCAGTCTCGCCGCGATCCCTGCTGTTTGTGGCTCTGGTGAGGCTGCTCATGGCTATGGCCCCTCTGAAGCTTGTGCTGTCCCCTCTGTCCTTGCCACTGCTCCTGGCTCTGCAGCAGCAGCAGCCTGCGTTCTCTCTCCAGGGTCAGGTGAACTTTCTGGTCTGAGCGCTTCAGCTCTTCCCAGGCAACTGCAGCCTGTTGCTGCAGCTCTCGCATCCTCTGGGCCTTCTTGAGCCTGTTCAGCACCAGGGCCAGGATCTTCTGGTCCCTGAAAGATATCACCGCCTCGTCCAGCTTGCTCTTGAGGACTTGAGCGCGATGGCTACTCTTCTCTTTGCAGGAGGCAAAGGGCCGGTTGTACTTGTTTAAGGACTCAGTCTGGTCACGGTCACTCCTATTCTGGGTGCACACACATGTGAATTGCTTCCAGAACTCTTGGGAGTGCACAGAGGACTTGTCTGTGAGAACCGAGGATGGGGACCAGAGACGTCTGCACACCGGCACTGCCCACCGGTCTCCAGTGTGTGTCTTTTCTACAAGCAAAGTCCCAGCACTCGCCGGGCTGAAAGCTTTCCCCGGGTACTGCGGGGATGAATCTCCCCGGACTGTAGAGTATCGCGGGCTGGACTGATCCGGTGGATGCTGCTGCTGCTTCTGCCAGGTTCTGCTGGACTTGGTCGGTGCCTCCCTGCAGGCCTCTTCCAGGCGGAGGCTGCTGGACCTGTGCTTCCTAGCTCGGTCCGAGGGCCTCCGGGCCACATGTGTCAGGCTGTGGCTTTCTCGGGTCGAGGCGATATACCCACGCCGGCGGGACCGCCCGGTGGGCGAACACTTCGGGTGCACCCAGGACGCCTCGGTCTCGATCTCTGCGCTGGGAGTCTGGGCCCAGGGATTCAGAGACAGCTCAGGCCAGCTCAGCTGGGTCGTGAACTCTTGCTCTTCAGCTAGCTCCCCATAGGGCTGTGGGGAGAAGAGATGGAAATCGGCCATGCTCCCTTCTCGGCTGGCCCAGAGTCTACACGAAGGTCAGTGGACCTTCAGGGGGCCACTGTGGACACCCAGCCCACGCTCAGATCCTGCGATCCATGTGACCTGTGACGCTCCTGCCACTTCACAATGCATCCTGGTGCCATCCGGTCTTTAAAGGCCTCAGTGCACCCAGGCTTTGATGAGCTAACTGGAAGTCTAGGAAACAAGGGTGGTATTTAGAAATGAGTATCGTGACAGCATCAGTGTTTCAGGTCCCTGAATTAGTGGATTGTGGGAGCCCCAGGCCAAGGGCTCCAATTTAAAAATAGAAGGTGGTGGGGGGGGGGAAGTAGTGTCGAGGAAGGAGGGTTTTGTTAGTCCTTTGGAGTCACATCTCTATTTTTACGATTGTTCTATTGTGTGTATGTATGTATGAACGATTAGAATTAGAAGCCATGACTGGCGTGTGGGCAGCTCAGGACAACTTAATAGGAGTCCTTTCTTTCTTTACACTATATGGGTCCCAGGGATCAAATGTAGGCTTTGAGACAAGTGCCCTTAACTGGCTAAGAATCTCACCAACCTCACTAATCCTAATCTGCGCGTGTAAGGTGTGGAAAGGAAACAGTCCCTGAAGCAAACTTGTCTGGATTTTAGCAAGCCCAAAGGATACTTTCACATTTACCTCTGTGAACTTTAGAACAGCAACAGGTAATTCTGATTTTCCTCTAATGTGTGAATTACAGCTTTTTTTTAAAAAAAATCAAAATATGAATTTTGTTTGCACTGTTTTCAAATCGCCCCTTGAAGATTTCATTTATTAGCCATTTGCCTCCCTCCTTTTGTGAGATTTTTCCCCCCCTGCTGAGGGGCAAATGACTCTGGATCTTCTGCTTTCAGCCATGTTATGTTGGACACGTTCCTCCCATGAGCCCAGGTTCTGGAAAGGTGGGCTACTGTGAAGGTGAGGTGACATGAAATACCTGGTACCACAGTGTAGTCAATAAATGGTGCCCTACTAAGCACCAGTTAAAGCTTTTAACACTTTAACACTAATACTAAAAAGTGTATTAGTTTACAAGTTTTCCCTCAGATTTCTTACTGGAAAGATTTCCTAGATTAATGTAATTTTAACATAGTTTGGATAAAGTGTCAAGAGAAGTGACTCTTGGGTAAAGTGTCAAGCTAAAACTGGGGTTTCCCTCATCTAGGGGTAGCTATGGCCTGAATGTATGCCCTCAAACTGCATGCTTTGAAATCTAATCACCATGATGGTGGCATTAAGGGGTAGGGACCATCGACAGATGATTGAGCCATGAGGGTAGAGCCCCCATAAAAGACATTGGTACACTTGTTCCAGAACTTCATTCCAGTTTGCAAGAGTTGGCTCCAAGATTCTGTGAGACAGAAGGCAGTAGCAGGCAGACTCAGGACAGCACTAAGTGTGGTTTGGTAGGGACTGGCTGGCAAATGTATGGTCCCAGGGAACAATGTGAACAGTAGATTTCCCTTGATTTGGGTTAGAAGTAGGAGTCTTAGCTAGTAGTCAGGACTAAAGTGACTTCAATCAAGTCAGAGTGTACCTGGTCTATCTCACAGCAATATCAAGGATGCCTGGTGCTTATGGTACCAGGATCCAACTTGTAAAAGTCTTTCATGAAGACTTGTTTCATATTCATGAAGAAACATTCCACCTGTATCTCTGAGGCCACCCCTTCAATAGCTATAAATATAGCCCAATATAAAATAGTTAACTTACTTAAAATTTTGTTTAGAGCATGTACACAGGCACACACTCGCTCTCTCTCTCTCTCTCTCTCTCTCTCTCTCTCTCTCTCTCTCTGTGTGTGTGTGTGTGTGTGTGTGTGTATACACTCCATTACCCAGTTCTCAACTTTGTAGATGACAACATTGTACTGCAAGGCCTTTTTACATGATTGAAAGCTAAAAGACTATGTGAGGCAGCCAGCCAGCCAAGGCTACTACCCAGGAGCAATCACAGTGGCCGTAACTCAGAATGGCTATGGTCACTTCACACTAAATAGCCCTTATAAGGGTGGACCTCAGTGGGTGAAGGCACTTGCTGTCAAGCCTTATATTAAGTGTTTGATTCCTGGGACTCACATGTTAGAACCAACAACTCCCACAACTTGTGCTCTGACCTCTACATGTACACTGTGGCACACTCAAGTACGTGTGCACACACACAAATACTTGTAGTAACAAATATTAAGCTGGACACTAAAATCCTAACAGGCCACCGTGTATATGAGTGTGTTCATGCACTTAGTGTGCCGCAGTGTACATGTGAAGGTCAGAGCACACGCAGCCACTGAGAAGCAAAGGCCAGCAAGCAACATTGCTTTTTTTTTTCAGGCTTCTTTTCATCTGGGTCATTGGGAGGAAGGCTCCGCCACACCCTCTCTGAGGGAAGGTCTCCCTTTCACTGTTAATCCTTAGTGACTAGCAAATGCAGCACAGAACCAGGAACAATGTCTGGGATGTACTTGTATGACTCCTTGGAAGGTCCCAGCATGCAAGTCAAGCCAGGGCTCCCAGGAGCACAGGAAAGAGATGCTTTGTGAATGGTAAGCTGCCAAGCATCCCCTCGATGCTGAGAACAACCAGTCTCCTTTTTATTTGGCAGCGAAGTCCTCAACGGACTGCATTGTGTGACTCAGAATGTGGCCTTCTGCCAAATTAAGACCTGGGCCCTCTTTCTGAGTTTGTTGGAGGATTGAAAATGCGCTCTGACCCCACCACTCAACTGAACCCATGGGTTCTGTGTGCTTATGGTTCTTGCAGAAACTTGAAACATTCTCTCCCTCTCCCTCCTCCTACCCCTCCTCCCATCCATCTGTTTCTCTCTCTCTCCCTATTTGTCTCTGTCTGTCTCTTTCTCTCTCTCTGTCTCTCTGTATAGTTCTTAATGCTTGGATGAGTCAAAGGGGAGAAATCAGAAAGTCACATGTGGTACGAGCACTTGAACATGGATTGTTCGAACTGACATGTGCTTAAATACACATGGGGGGTGGGGCTGGAGAGGTGGCTCACCAGTTAAGAGCACTTGTTGCTCTTGCAGAGGACCTGCATTTTGTTCTTCTCACCGATGGTGGGCAGTTCACAGGTACTGACACCCCTTCTGGCCTCCAGTGGCTCACACTTGGCATACACACCTGAACAGAAATAGCAGAAATAAATCTTGTGAAGTGAAATATAACCAAATATAAACAAAGTACACACTGGATTCTAAAAATGAAACAGGAAGAAGAGCAAAATCTACCAATGCTTCTTATTTTACATTAGTTACATTTTTCAATCATATTTTAAGCCCTTCAGACTAAATGCAATATATTATCAAAATTAATTTTATGCTTCTTATATTTGTTCTGATATGAATTCTAGGAGATTTAAATTTACATACATGGAGATGTAATATGCATTATGGTATGGTTATTTTGTGTGAAAGAGATTATTTGAGTTTATTTTAACTGACATATAAAAATTATGAATTCATGGGATACTGTGAAATATTTTGATATATTCCTGCATTGTGGGATATTAATATCAGAATAAAAAAAAGCTGTCTCCTCAAACAATTTTCATTCCTCTATTGTGGAACTTGTGAATCCCTTTGTCTCCCTTTCTGACTTGTACTGTACACAACTGTCATCCATGGTCACCTCCTGTGCATAGCTCTGGAGATCCTGTGGTCATGTGACTGTTACTTAGCACCCATTGATCACCCCCTCTCCATCATGATCTGTTTGTGCTTCTCTAAGTAATGAAAACTTCCGGGTGCTTAGGCTGTAAATAAAGGTTTTCAGCACACAGGTAATTTTTATTTTATATAAATATGTTGCTTTGAAATCACACACATACACATGACACACATATATATGAAGGTTAGGAAACAAAATTGGGTATTGGCCCTCGGGTGACTTCCATCTCTCATATGAGGCAGGGTCTCTCCCAGGCTTGAAATTTGTCCAGATAGATCAGGCTAGCAGATCTTTGAGCGTCCATGAATCCACCTATCTCCAGCTCTTCTCTCTCCATTACTGGAATGACATCACCCCTCACCCCGCCAAGGCAAGAGCTTTACTGACTGAGCCATCTCTCCAGCCCCTGAGGTCACCTTTCTAGGAGGATATTATTTAGGTCAGAAGGGTTTTTGTTTTGTTTGTTGTTAATCCTTGGATGGTACAACAAATTATAATTTTCAAAATTCAGCTTTATGGTATACTTTTAATATCATGCAACTTAGGGTCTTTTATGCCTCATTTCCACAGTTTCCTTACTATGTAGGAAAACACACGATGCCAAGTAACAAGTTCTAAAAACACAGACCTGGGCCACGCTCTATATGTGCCTGCAATGTACAGTGGACTTGCTAAAGACAAGGAAAACAGAACAAACAAACAAACAAATCAAACATACAGCCGACCAAACAAGATAAATAAGAACCAAGTTAGAATGTATTTGTGGTAACAGAGTGCTAAGCATGAGTATTCTAGCCTGTAAACAACTTCTCCCCTCCCCACTTAAAAAAAAAAGAAAAGAAAAGAAAATAGTGGGTTAAGAACCTGGAAATAGGCAAGTTAAGTTGCCATGGAAACAATCACAGTGCAAATATTCCAAGTGGATGAGAGGTTATGTATGTAACAATGATGGCCGACACGCTCTGAGCAAGTGCCGGGACATGCCTGTGAGTGCTTTATGTGTAAACTTGACCGTGGCAAGGCAGAGCGGGGCCTGCTGCTTCTGCAGGCACCAAGAGAGAATTCTGGCATTCATGAAGCTAGTACTGGGCAGAGGACCCAGAACTGGAATCTGGGATCTCACACCTAACTTAGCACCCTCGGATGCAGCCTTCCACTGCCAGATCTTACAGGCTAACGCCACTCTCATCTAGGCAGACGAATGTGTGGACCAGAGCTGAGAAGATTTTAAACACTTGGGGTTTTGCTGCAGCCTAAGATTTTAATACTTTTCACACTTGAAACCTGAATCAAATTATAAGCTTGAGAGATGCTAATCACTTCTCACGAAGAAAGAGAAATCTCTAAAGTAT